GTTATTTCTTCCTCGTCCTCTCTACCAGTGTCCACCCATCAAAATCCACGTCTGCCTCGTCTCCTGTTTGCACCAGTAACACCAGTTTCCCCCCGTTCCAAAGTCCACAACATTTGTCAAGCATCGATAATCTGTCCAAAAAGTTCCGCGCCAACTCTCCTGGCCAGATGTTCATATTTTTCCAAAGCCACACGCACGATCAGAAACAAATGAAAACTGAAACTTACCGTCAGCTCAGGACCGGAAACCTAACGGAGCTCGTAAAAAGTTGGTTCACTGTTTAAACCGCTCAGTTCCCGCTCAGTTCCCGGTCAGTTCCCGCAGTTCCAAGAACTTCAACACTGACAATCTGACAGATGTTGAGCCTCCACCCGGTGTTACCGGCTCCGGCAGCCCTCTCTGCCTTAAATGTGCACGTTCACAACATGTACTACGGTGATGCTGCGTGCTGCTTTTCAAAATAAAAGCTGAAAATAAAAGTTCTTGATACTGGAAAAATAAATATTTAAAAGCTGCGTATTGTTATTAGCTGAACAATAAATAAATAAAAGCTGAAAAATATGAAAAACAAATAAATAAAAGTTGATATTAGCTGAAAAATAAATAAATAAAAGCTGTTAATTATATCTGATGTTGACTTTCAAAATAAATCACCTCCAAATTCTAACATAGTTCATTGTAAGTCAAAAGTTGCTGATCCTATTACTTATACGTTGACGTGACATAGAAGATACCTGTTGATATTAATTATATATTATTGCTACTGGGAAATTGTATGAAATTTAAATTATTTACATGTTAAAGTAAAAGAAAAACCACTACAGTTAGAATAATTTATTATAATTTATATTATGAATTTATAAATATAATATAATAAAGTGCTCACATGCACATCAGCCTGCATTGTCACTTTTCACTCAGCCTCATCTTCAACTCCATCCTCTGCAAACGGCCTGAAGTGAGAGCGGTTCCTGAAATCGTTCCGTTATCCAGCATCAAGTCAGCAACTTTTGAAGATTACTATGAACTATACTCAACTTTGGAGGCGATTTATTTTGAAAGTCAACATCAGATGTTGGTCAAAGTTTTTGGGCAACATCTGGAGGTCTCCTAGAGTCAACCTGAATTTAGAATGGTTCCTGGCATGGCAGAAGGGCATAGACATAATTAACAGCATTTATTTTTCAGCTATTAACAATTTTTATTTTTTTTTTATTTTTCAGTTATAAACAGCTTTTATCTATTTATTTTTCAAGTATTAACAACTTTTATTTTCAGCTTTTATTCTGAAAAGCAACACCCAGCATGTCGCTGCAGCATTACTAGTACATGTTGAAAACTACCGTAGTACATGTTGAAAACTACCGTAGTACATGTTGAAAACTACCGTAGTACATGTTGAAAACTACCG